GTTTAACACTTCTTCTCTTACCACTGTATGACCTACAGGACAGTACATGCCCGCGCGCGTGACAGTGATGGACCCCTTTCTTCTTCAGGGCTCAGAGCACACCGCCGTTCTTTCCACATGGACGGACATTCATCAGATGCTTCTGCGGAGCAGAAAGCTGCCATGAAAGTTGACTCGACTTGGAGTAAAATCTTAAAATTGCAGGTATCCAGGGACTAAATATGTGCAGGAGAAGCACCCAGACATCCTCTTAGTCAGTGGGGACATCATTTGTCTCCAGCCAAGTGGAAACAAAAATGATTGTGCCTCTGGCCGTTGGAAATGTGAGGGTTGGGTGGCGACTGTCTGTCAGTGACAGAGTGAACCAAAAGCAACATTTATTTACATCAAAATGATGCACATTATTACTTTGACCTTCTTAGACTACCAAATGCACACAGCTAGGAAGGCAATTTCTTGTGCATTTATCAGAGCAGACATCACCTGAATCGCCAGCGTGTCTCCGAGACAAACACTTTCAACAACAGCTCAGAAAATAAAGGAGAAATTTCCTGCAAGACTATGAAAAAACAGAACTCATCATGAAACCCTCGCAGTGAAACATCAGCACGCATTTTTGAAATACTGAGAAAAATGTTCCAGTGCTGTCCAGCACATCAGACCCTTCAACTTTCATCACATCTCCTTGTAAAATCATGAGATCCATTTCTCTGCAGCTTACCATCATTTGATCTGAATATGGAGGAGCGCTTAATTGGCTGAGTAATTAATAACCAATCAAGATTCATTTATCACCCTCGTTATGACGGCTGTGTTTACTCCCCAACCTCTCATCTATATGGTAATCAGTCATGGGCTGGGCCAGCAGCGCCTCGGCCCATTCGTAAGAGCTGACGTAGTGTGTGTGTGTGTGAGTAAATTGACCACATCTGTAGGGGATAAGAAAGAGGTTTGAGTGACAAGGGGAAACATTTGGATGAATTATAGCGGTGGAAACAGCGTCTACAGAGCCGGTGTTTATCTGTGGCACATGGGTGCACGTGCAGGTGCATATACAGTAATTTGAAATTATTACACAGCATACTCTGAAGAAGAGCAATCGTCTCGCCTCCTGCATCTAAACAGCTCACAAAGTGGTCATTAGAATAATCATTTTGCACCGTTACCAAAATAATTACCAATAAAATTCCCTGTAAAACACTTTTGTCGAGTTAATGCATGTTCAGTCTGCACTC